TTGATATTTCACATTGTTTAAGCCATAGATTTATTCCAGCATTCCAGACATTCATTAGGCACTCTGAAATGTAATTCTAAAAAAACACCCTTAAGAAATCTGATTTGTGTCACACCTTAGTGCACAAGCCAGAAGAGAAGGGTTAATCAGGTTAATGGTCACGTGAAACTTGATTATTTTTAAATTGAAAAATCTTAAGACCTTGAAGAGATATGAATGTAAACAATGGTAATTTAGGAATATTTAGAGAAAGATAGAAGATCAAGATAGAAAACTACGAAGCTTGAAGAAAAGATTAACAATGATGTAAACAATACAGGAAAATCTTTGATACAATATAAGGAACGTAGAGCTAGCTTTCCCTGTCATTATTCCAAGTAGATAATTCAGTGTCATCATCAGTACCTTCACTGCGCTTTATTTAATTAACAATAATATTACGCTAGTCAGGTTTTTATTCTATTAGTACAAGTGATTTATGTTTTATGTGAATTTGTTAATTGCTGGATTACTTGCTTTATTGAACTGAATTTGAAAGCATTAAACTCAAAATACATTCTACACTGAAGTATTAAACTCATGGAAAATAATATTCTACCCTGTATTTCTTCAGGGTGTTCTAATAGAGGCATTTACAAACTCTCACATGTCATGCAATTTGGGGAAACAATACTACTCTCCAAGGGGGACATATTTCTTTTTCAGTTTTGTTCTATTTGATGTAATAAAACTTTTTTTTTTTGGTTATATAAAAACTTACAACCTGACTTTGTTTCCTCAGAGAAGAAGTGTATGGGAATGAAAAGGGGGGAGGTGGTTCACAGCCACCTATGATGATTGTGTTCTATAACAAGTATACGAATATTGAATCTCTTTGGCATGTTAGACATTTAGGTAAGTTTTATCATCTCTTACTGTACAAGTGTTTACATCTATCCTAGTTTCCATGATTTTTAACATCTAAAACACAGTTTACATCTATCCTACTTTCCACGATTTTAAACATCTAAAACACAGTTTACATCTTTCCTACTTTCCATGATTTTAAACATCTAAAACACAGTTTACATCTATCCTACTTTCCATGATTTTAAACATCTAAAACACAGTTTGCATCTACTAGGAATTTCTGTCTGTAGGCCTACTCGGAATCTCTGACTGTAGACCTACTAGGAATCTCTGACAGTAGGCCTACTAGGAATCTTTGAATGTAGACCTACTAGGAATCTCTGACTGTAGACCTACAAGGAATCTCTAACTTGTCAATGTCTTTGATAAACCTGACATTACTTAAAGGATTTCCATTTTTTTTTTCACATTTTTCAACCTAATGTTATGTTTAAAAAAAAAAATAGCATAAAATAAAAATGAGAATTTTTTTACTGAACTAAATTTTCTTTTTTTTGTGTATTCCATAGGTTTATCAGCAGGGACAACATACAACAAAGGATTATTAGAAAATAGAGCAAAGCTGATTCACTGGAATGGTCCCTTCAAACCGTGGGGAAGAGTAGCTCAACACAGCAGTATATGGGACAAGTATTTCATCCCTGAACCCAGTGGGCAGTTTAAAGTAGTAAGAAGAGCTGTGTAAACTTATGGCTTGATTTAGAACCTGTTTAAGATATGATGATTTTATTGGTCCAAACAAATAGGAATTCAATTTGACTACAATTGTCCATCTCAGATCAGTTTCTATGAGTTATAAGTACAATAATGACTCATTCACTATTATTCTTATCTATACCAACTGGGACTAGCAATCTTTTTTATAAATCATGGCATTGATCTGATTAGTTTGGGTACAATAATGACTCATTCACTAGATTTAAGTTTCTTATCTATACCATCTGGAACTAGCAATCTTTTTTTTTATAAATCCTGGCACTGATCTGATTAGTTTGTCATTTTCAAAACTATTTAGTCCTTTGTTTTTTGCATACCAGATATTAGAAATGTCTTTTTTTTTTTTTTTTTTTTTTTTTTTTAAATTCTTGAGTTGGTGCATCACCAGTCCAATCCATTGACTAAATTCTGTCATTAGATATATTGTACATAATTTTTTTATTTCCAAGGAGATGTACATTGTTTTGTAAAGATGTTTATAGTGCAATTCTTTCATCCATCTGTCCTAACTTCTTGTTTATTTTCTAATGTAATGAGCCCATAGTTAGACTAAAATTGTTTCAGATTTCTCTGTCACTTGAGTATTCCTTGAATATATTCTTTTCTTCATGTGGTTCCTTCAAACTGAAATTTGAAACATTTTCCCCATGTTATAATGTTTAACTTTCTCTCCGTAATTATTTTTCCACGTTTCCAAGGAATTCTTCATTTGCTCATTACTATTTCACTACCCCTGTTATGATTGGGCTTCAATAGCTTTGTTGTTTGTTATCAGAACATGTTGTGCTTGGTATAGAATTAAAGGGAAATGCAAGCTATTTTTAAAAACTTAAACATTAATTTAATTTATCGAGGTCAAAATCAACGATGGTATCGTCGATTAGGAGAGAAAGAGTTAAAGAATTTTATTTGTATTTGAATCTCCTTTAGTGAAAACTTGAACATGTATTATGTAAATACCTTTTGGGCCAGTGATCAGTTTCTTTTTGCTTAATTATTTTTTTATTGATGTTATATTTTTTAGAAACTTTTCTTTAAATTATGATTTACCTAGTTTTTTATTTAATGTAGCATTCTTGTTTATGTGTGATTTTTTTGTTTTATTTCGCATGTTATTTATGCTCAATAGATATTTTTTGTTTACATAAGCTTACAGAACAATATCTTGGAAAAGCAAGATTTTTTATTAAGATGTAGAGCTTTACAAATTGTATGTCCCTTCTATTTACTTAGTGTATGATAATTTTATTTGTATGTAAAAATATTGTTACAAAGTATTAGTCTATGCCTGTGTTCAGTCAGTCAGTTGAAATGTTATAATACATTGTTATTATATAATACTTAAAGACATAATCTTGAGCCAAAGTTTGTTAGACTAGTTAACTTCCAGTCACTACTAGTTAACTTCCAGTCACTTGGATACTAATTTGTTTAATCAATACTCAGAAGACAAATGTTTACTAGACGAGAATGCCAGTGGGTGAGTTTTTATGCAAGTACAAAATAGATGAAAAAGAACAAATGCTGGGGACAGAAATGTTGTTTGTATAGCGTAATGCTTTCTTGATCAAGAATAAAAATACTTCTGTTTGGTGAAAGATTTTTAAAGTTGCTTTCAGAAGTATAAAAATCACAAGACCTCAACTGTTAAATGAAAATAAGTGACTTTGTGTTGTTTTTTTTTGGTAAGACTACAACTCATCAACCCCTAATCATGCATAATGAATAATTAAATAAATTGAATTTTGGTTGTGCTAAATTTTGAATGTGGAGAAAATTTTCCTTTTTTTTTTTTTACAATTTAATTTAAACAAAGTTTTGCAGAGTTGTAATGTTATCTCGGCAACCTCTTTCAAATTGACATATCATCACATTCAATTGAAAAGAAAATCTTTTGATGAAATAAAATCCATTATTAAGTTTAACAGTGTCTTATAGCAGAGAAATAGGTCAAAGCTTTAAGTATCTTGGAACTGTGTTAGACAAGAAATTAAATTTTATTGCAAACTTAGATTACATCACCAAAAAAGGACAATGAAAATTAAAGCTACTAAGAAAAATGTCCTTTAATGTTAGTGAAAAAGCTTTGCCACTGTTTTACCATGCTCACAATCTGCAGTATTACAAGTTTCATCACTCCCTGGTATGGCAATCTGAACATATAAAAAAAAATAAAATTTTAAATTGAAAATGCTACTAGTAAGATCATAGGCAACAAACGAACCGCACTCGGACACCCTATTTGAGAAAACCATTACTTAAAAGCTATAAAGATTTTAAGCATCAAAGAAATCACCCTCTTCTTCATGATTTGAACATTTTACTATCACAAAGAAGATATTAAGACACCGATCACAAAAACACTTTGGCAATTAAATCATTGAACAAAATGTAACTTTCTGTTGTAAATTTCAAAAAGAGAAACTGGGGTATGAATGTATATCTTGCATACCAATGTTTGCTCTAATTATGTAAGTTTTTTTCTAATGCACAATTGTAAAACAAATTTCATTACGGATAATAAAGATTATCATTATTATAAAAATAGTAGGGTCTAGTATTACAACCATCATATTACATTGAACGCAGGAGTCTTCAATAGATTACTTGGACACATGATGTTGGTATAAACTTGATAGTGACTTGCAGATTGCTGCTACAAGTAAATGAGTTGCAATTCTATTAGGTGCATGTATTGTGACTGTAGTTTATGTCAGAATATCATTAAGAGTGACCGTTATCTTATTTTTATTTGTAATTAAACAATTTAGAATGAACTTAATGATTGTATGACAGAAGCTCTGTAAAATGTTTTTATTTATTATCAGTTGAAAAGTATAAATTGTGGACTAACACCACTTGTCTGGTTAAGTGCTTGATGCCACACTAACATATCTTAGGACAGATGATGTAAGGTCATCTGTTTCTGTGGCTCACAGTTAACAAGGGTGTCATATGTGGCTAGCACAAAGACCAACCACCTTTACTTTTCCCCAACTAACTTCAAGTACTTATTAGAGCTAGGTGGACTCAGGGGCGCCCTAAAGATCCTGAAATTAAAAATCAGATTTGTGATTAAAAATGTTAGAAATCAAGTAATTATATAGAAGTTACATAGGTCATACAAATTTAGTATGATTTATTTCATTACAAAAATATTGAGAAAAGTATTTTGTATATATTTATTTATAAAGTTTCAGTAATTTTCAACTAGCATTTTTTTTTTAATTTGAATACTTCAAAACTAAAAACTATTTCAATTTATGGGCTATTGTCACATTGTGAGTTAACTCTGTTGCCCTTTCTAGATGCATGAATGATTGTGTGGAATGTAATATGAACATATTGATACAAACTATATATTTTACTTTATACAAATGTTTGAACATTACCTAACTGCATGTTTTTGTTGCTTGGTGCTAAAACATAGTTCATCTATTAACACTATCCATGCTGTTAACCCAACATGCAATATTGTATCAACTTTACAATGGCATTTGCTGCAGTTTTGTCATTGTAGATTACTAAGATAATGTTTTAATAATCTGGTCACATACCTGAGCCTATGGAAGTAATAAAATGAATAAATAAACTAGTGTTGTTATGTTTTATAGTTTTTCTTTGACAAAACAGTTTAACAATTTTCTAAAATTTAACTTGTTCATGAAATAAAAACAAAAAAAAAACACAATCCAAATCGTTTATTAATTGTTTATTACAAATCACCAATAAATAATGTTAATTTAAGATAAAGATCAATAATAATAAAAAAAATCTCTAACATGAATCTGTCACAACAAAATCTGCTAAAAAAAAATAATTGAAAGTTGCCCTAAGTTTTAAGAGTCCAGAAGCAGATGCCAGAAACTGGTTTAAACTGCTTCTTTCATTAGCTTGGGCTACAAGAAATATATCAACTGGTCTCATAAGTTTAAAAAATCCATTTGCTGACATATATTGCGATGATGAGTATTTTGATTTGACTAAGATCAACATAACAATAAATACAATGTCATAACATTTTCATAACAAGCCAAAATGTTATTTGTTGAAAAAAAATTTTACATCATCAGCTCTAACATATTAAAATAGAAGATTGATAGTGTGATATGACATTTTACTATTCCTGAGACGCTTTACCCTGAGTGATGTGAATGAATTGCTGCCAGAATCTGGTCGACAGAAGGTCTATCATTAGAAACTTTGCTGCAGTAGGAGAAGACCACTCTGCCCGTATTGTCTAGTATAAAATCTCCTCCCATCTGAAAATGAGTCAAAATAATTCTCAGTCCGACCAGGAAGAATGGGACTAATCAGACCTCACTGACTAACACACTCTCTCACACATTCAAGGAAGACAAAACCATTCAGCTCCTAACACACGTGCAAAGACTATTCACATAAACAAGGGGATAAAAGTCAGATACTAAGTGTGTGTGTGTGTGTGTGTGACTTTAACTCAACTTACTTGCTGAGGATCATCATGAACATTTTCTAAAGGTCTGGGGAGTTGTCTTCCCTTCAACAATTGTTCTACATAATATACCATACAAGCACAGCTCCAGACCTGGAATGGTAAATCACATTTGTAGGTCAGTGTTTCAAAACAATATTTAGTTATTACTTATTACTACAGTGATCCCTCGTTTTTTGTTTTGTTTTTGCAAGGACTGTGTTTCAAGACTACCAGCGGCAAGAAAAAATTTACACGAAGTAGAAGAAAGGTATTTTTTAAATGCGTTCAACTAGTATTTGGACTTTTAAAGCCTTCCCTCTTTTCAAAACCCACCCTTTGCATTAAACAGTCACTCGATAATGTTTTACAGCTGGATCTACCTGTGATATCCTACTGCATTAAACAGTCACTTAATAATGTTTTTCAGCTGGAGCTACCTAATAAAAAAAACAACACTGTTTTCATGTACACACCAAATCCTAGGATGGTGTACAGGGTCTACTACATTACTTAAATTCATAACTAATTGTAATAATAAATGAATTAAGAAGAAGAGAAAAGGATTTAAAAATGAAATTACAAAGATTTGTTTAACTTTTCTGACGACAGGCTAATAATAGCAAAATATGTAGAAAATTTTATGAAATTTTAATGGATTTAATGACATATTTTAGCTCTTCGTCTTTCATGATTTACTTAGATTTTGACTCCCTATCAAATGTCATTCTTCTAGGTAAAGTGGAGGGAGCATGAAGAAAGGGTCCTTTGTAGAAAAACTGTCGGAATAACATAAAAGAATAGACCGGCCGCTCTCTTAATATCCTGCTAAGAACAGCTGCTGACTTGGAAAAGAGGAGGGATTTGGTTACGCAAAGTGTCACAGCAACCCCTACGACGGATGTCAATGGACAGATGAGATGCAAGAGGGGTCATAAGCCCCCTTTAAAAAAAACCTAAACTAGCAAATCTGCCTACGATGAACTGCTAAGTAGCGAGGAACTACTATACATATTTTTATTTCTCATTATTAAATGAGGTCTACATCATTGTGACAAACCAGACCAACAAGCTTAACATTCTATTTATATTATTTTGTATAATAAATGTAATCGATACAGATAGATAATAGACTTTGACCAGATTATGACAAAAAAAGTTTTTATTTACTAATGAAATAAAATTCTTAGTTTAAAGATCACATTGAAACATTTACTAACCAAACATAGTGGACAAATGAAATATTTTGTCTCTGTAATATAAAAAAAAATCTATGCAAGTCTCAATTTCATGTTTTTTACCTTAGAAACAGATCTGTGGAGGCCAAAGGACAGATAGATCTGAAAATGAATTAAGTGGCAGTGTGATGTTACTTAGATGCAAAACTATTTCAATTTTAATGTTTGTAATGGTTTCATTCTTTTATTACACATTGCGTGCGTATCTGATGCTTCTAAGCCTCACTGTGGTGTCAGGGTGTAAACTGTTGTTTGAGGAGACGATCAGGCCAGTAGAGAAAAACAGAAACCCCGTTGAGGTGCCTAAGGACAGAGTCCATTGCACTGGCAGGGATGAAGGAGAGCTCTAGTAACCATATCACTGTCCACACAGTGTTCCTCAAAGGGCTGTTTCATGGTGGATACTCCCATGGCTGATGTGGTACCGGCTCAGAGAAGGAATATGGGTGAATTTACCTCATAAACTCAGCCTTCAGCCTCGACCGCTAACCCAAACATGAGATGCGAGCCATTGATAATTGGAAAGTAACAAATTACAACTGCATGGATCCCGCCCCAGAGACAGAACAGCAGTTCAGACATACCCAAGGAGGGGAGATTCCATAGGGGCCTGGAGTTTCAAGAGTCTTCAACGCAACTGTTTGGACAACTACAAAGAAGAAATATGTATAATTGAGTAGTTGTTATTGAACATTGAAGAAAGCCCAAAGTAAAATAATGTATCTCTGTTTGTTACTTTGAATTTTTGATACTTTCTTTCAGAAATAAAATGGACAAAAATATCTTTTGAATGATACAGTATTGCACTGAAAACTAAGATATATTTGAGAATACGTAGGTATAAATTTTAATCTTATTATGGCCATACTCTTAAACAATTTTTTTTAAACCACAAAGAGAAATTCAAATAACTTATCTAGCTTCATAAATCAATAAAAAAACATGAAATGTGTGGGGCATGATGGCCGAGTGCTTAGCTTAAGCATGTGGCTTCTGAACCTGTGAACCTTGGATCGAATCTCAGTGAAGACATGGTAAGTTTCTGAATTTTTGTACGCCCTTGAGACCACCCAACTCTAATGGGTACCTGACTTAAGTTGGGGAAAGTAAAGGCAGTTGGTCGTTGTTCTGGCCACTCGTTAACCATTGGCCAAAGAAACAGATGACCTTAACATTATCTGCCCTATAGATCGCAAGGTCTGAAAGGGGAACTTTACTTTACTATGACATATGTGATATAATGACACCCAGAAATCAAATTAATAATATTTGTCAATCTTAAATCATGCCCACCACTACATTTTCATTACATCAAGATCAGACTAAAATGTTTACAACTTAATTATAACAATATTGTTATTCTTATTTTTAATTATATGCAATTATAACGAGAAATCTATGTAGAAAATTTGGCCTAATGTTGACTTACTTTTCTATAAGGATCCAGTATCATGTCAAACGGACAGTTTGTTTCTTTCAACCAGTTGTCTGCCCCTAGCTGCTCCCCAAACGATACAATCAATATTTCCGCTCCAAACTGTTTCAACTCAGCCTTTGTAAAACAAATCATATTTTTGCGATCCCCAGACATTATGTTTTGAATTTAATATACTAAATATGTTAATAACAAACACACATTTTCCAGTTATTTACACAAGGGATTGATTTTCTTGCAGTTTTTTTTTAAAATGATTCCATTTCACACGAGTCTGTACAATTTAACTCTTTCTCTCCGTAATTATTTGTCTCGTTCCGATAGTATTGTTCATTTTGCTTATTTGTATTTCACTATCCTGTTAGGATTAAACTTCATTAACTTTTTTTGGTTGTCATATATATATTATATATATACTATAGCTTTTATATAGCGCTACTTTCATGCTTATAGCATGCTCAGAGCGCTTTGGTCCAATCTCATTTGTGGACCAGTGGGGGGAGGGGGTATCTAGGAGTTGGTTTTCTGTGCTGCCTTTAGGCGCTCAGTAAACGAAACTCTGCCCGAGTCGGGTGTCGAACCTCTAGCCCCCTTTTAAGTTCAAGCGCACTAAGCCTCTCGACCATGGTTCCCACATCAGAAAATGTTATATTTGGTATTCAATTATAGGAGACGGCATGCTCTTTTTACACAACACAAATTAAAGTTTATAAATCCAAAGATCAATTTAGTTTAATGGGAGTCAAATCAACGTTGGCATAGTCAATTAGGAGAGAAAGGGTTAACGTAGTTAGCAGTAGTAGGGCAGTTTAATGAATTTGATAGAGCACACATTTCGTGCGTTTGATCTGCATATTGGTCAATTTACCTTTGAATGCACTTTTTATCAAATTTATAAAGTAGGAATTAATTTTTAAAATTTATTTATATTAATTTTTATTTATTAGACTTTTCCTACATTACCGGTATGTCATAAACTAAAATTGTTGACTCAAAAGTCATATCCTAAAAGAAATTGAACACAAAGCTATAAATAAAGGTGAGCAACTGTTTCATTTTAAAGCCTGTAAAATTAAAAATGAGTCATGTTATTTAGCTACAGGTTAAATGAGCTACAGATTAAATGACCTACAGGTTAAATGAATCAAGAAATGAAAGTTAAGGTTCTTCACGGAGCTCACCTGTCTGGCAACAATCTCACACAAATGATCTCGTCAGGGCAATCAAGCAAAATGTCGGAGCAATACCATCAACAGAAAAGGCCGGCTATGAACAAATGAAGCCAAAGTCACATTTTCTTTAGATCTTGCATTCACAGCTGTCATTTCTAATGGGAGGGTGTCACCCTCTTTAAGTTGTACAGCAACAGATGTATTCAATGTCTTATCAATCTCTTCAAGAGCTTCATCCCAATCTCTCTGAAAAAATAAGAGCTGAAACTGTAAATACTTTATCATAAAATATTTCTTTTAAAACATTCAATTACGAAAATTGTATAAACAAATACCTATTATTTCAAAATTTATTTTTAAGAAAAATTTGTTTCTTCATGCTGCATTCTCAGT